AATGTGTTGTTACAGACATGGTTTTATTATTACCTCCTTTTTTCTTGCCTTCTTGACTAGCTCTGGGATCACTTCACAAATACTTGTAACACTTGGTTTGAATGAGGTTAGGTAAATCACTGCAGTGCTATCTGTATCTTCTCTTTCTCTTAATGTCTGTGGTAGAGGATGTGAATATCAACGTATACAGCATTTTGTGACCTTGGGGTGGAGGGGGTGTGCCTGTATCTAACAAATTAAGATGTATATTGAATTCAGAGTTTTGGGACTTCTTATGTCCCAGGTGGAATATCTGCTCTAAATATCTGCAGCTCCTGTCTGCAGAATACCTCAGCACTTTGAGTAGTCAGTGGACATGTGGGTGACAGCGCTCTGTATCTCTGGTTTCCGTCAGGCAGATGAGGAAGCCTTGACCTTTATCTCGCATCCCAAGTATAGTTTCACATGAGTGGGATGTTGGCTGGTTTGGTCGTGCTTGTTTGTCGGTTGCCTGTTTGGAGTTCTGTAAAAATTAATTAATTGTGTAATTACCATTCTGTAGAATTAATTAATTGTATTAAACATTTGACCCAGGCTCTGCAGCATTCTAAGGGAATGTCTTAACCATGGGGAAATTGGCTATATTGGGGTAAGAATATTTTTCCTCAGCCCCACTGTGCTCAATACTTGTGTCATCAGGGAGGCATAAAAAAGTCTAATCAGCCCTTTCTTCCAAAGAAAGCACTCCTTCATTTTCCCAGGTGAGCCATTTTCTCAGCTTTTTGAAGCCACCTAGAAGAAATTCATGCATGTTATGAAAAGAATGTAAAGGGCAGCTGCTACATATAATTCATAACAAGTGACCCTATAACTAATTTCACAATTCTAGACAGAGGAGGTTATTTTGAAGTCACTTTTTTGTAAACAGACTGTCATCTTCCGGCAGCACAGAACTTTGCAACTTAACACCAATACACGTGCTCTGCTTTTGTTTGTGAAAACACTGTGTAGAATGCAGTCACCTTTAAAATAAGTTATTCTGCATGGTGTTTACAAGGTGAAAAGCAAAACTCTCCTTTTGCTTTGTTTCTCCATGCCTTGAGTAGACTAGAATGCTTAGCAGCATTCACCACAGTAGTAGCTTCATCCCAGGTTTGTTGGCAACAGTCTGTCTTTACATTAGTGTAAGAAAGCTGTTCTTTCAAACACAGCAATGAAAGAATGCTGTTGCCGAGCTGCTGCAGTGGATCAGTAACCACTTTTTGCTCAGAAATAGAGGAAACCCTTATTACCTGGATGGGTGTACTGAGAGCTTCTCCAGCAGCAGAATTGGTATCCAGAAGGCGAAGAAGTGGTGGAAGAATTGAAGGCTTTTCCTGGTGCTGGGTAAAATAGTCAGATGAAGTAAATGGAGGGTATGTGAACTGGGGTAGCTGAGGAACTGATCACACAGTATTAGAACGCATAGGACTCTTGTAACAGGCTGTAGAGGTTGGAGAGGAGAGAAAATATCCTGCCATTCCAGTTTTTGAAGCCCTTTCCAGTCTTAGAAGTAGCATTCTTGGCCCTCTATTTTGTATCTTTCTCTGTCTCACCGACTTCCTATATAATTCATGTTCCATACACAATGTGGACAGCAATTCTAGCTTGTCTGCCTCTGGTTAGTCTATCCTGTAGGTAAATGGTTGAACGTTTGTGTTGCTAGGGCATTCTGAAATCAAGGCTTAGCTGCGATGATAAAACTCAAATAGCAGGTGCCTGCTGTGACAGTCTTCAGGTTTAAAATTCAGCACAATATGAGTTCAAAATATGCTTTCAGCTCTTGGTCTACAAAGCCATTTAGCTCAGTTGTGTTGTTCTGCAAGCCCTCCTTTTCCAGTTCGCTGCAGATTGAACATGAGCAATTTTTACATTCTGGCAAATGGGTTTTATAGCCCTAAGTGACCTCCCATTTATGGTGACGGTAACTTGTGTTTGTGTTTTAAATATTCAATTTGTCCTTACATAGGTGAATTCTGTACACGTCACTGATTGTTGCATCTGATTGATGAGTATACTGTATCTTGCTTTTGTCGTTGTTTTGCTTCTCAGGATCAGATCTTTATGGAGAACGTTGGTGCAGTAAAGCAACTTTGTAAGCTGACCAACAACCTTGAAATCAGAATAGAAGAACTGGAACAGTGGAATAGAAAACTGACCAAGCTGAAACGGTTAAGCAGTTTAAAGTCAACAGTCAGTGAAAAGAGTACAGTCAGGTACCACCGTCCCAGCTCTGGGACGTTCTCTCTTATTTATCATAGAAATTGATAAAGCCTCTGTGGTAGAGAAAACTAATTTTGCTTGCCAGTGGAGTCCACCTCATCTCCAGCTGCTCTGTCTTTCAAATCTTCATCATTTAAGTTGTGCCAAAAAGGCAAATTCACGCATTCTGTAAATTACTGACAAAATTAATATTTGAAATGGCTGTTAAATTGCAATCATTTTTGTGATGTCTTCAGTAGTGTAAAACAAGGGCAGACCACCTCCAGTTACAACCTTGCCACTTAGAAATTGCTGCTAAGAGAAATCTGCAGAGCTTCTTTTACAAGAAAGAATCTTCACTAGTGCTTCAATGGAAAAATGATGTGCATTCCCTTTTTCTAAACCATTTTCCCAAGTTTTCTTTGAAATGTAGCCTCAAATAGCATTCACCAGACTGGGGTAACTGGAGGCCTTTGTTCTTGAAAATAAATGTAATGGCTTTTCTGCCTTTTTCTTTTTAAATGTTACAATTGCAAGAGGGAGTGACCTTAACCCCATAACAAAGCATCTCTTTTTCATTCATTGTTTGCTGAAATATTTGAATGTTAATGAGATCTTGTCTCTTACAGTAGGTATAGTAGAGCTACTAGTCTGTTGCCGTCAAGAAAATCAGTCCTGCTAAAATCTAGCAAGGTGAGTGAAATTAAATACGTGAAATATGTCTATGAGAGAGTTTTGTAAGTGCTGAAATACTTGTGAAAGCTTTCTTGTCTCTAAGTATAGAATTAAGTTCCTTTGCCAGAATTATTTAGGGTCATGCCAGAAGCTTAAAAGCTCAGCGTTCTGGGGTAGAAAGCATGCACAAGACACTGTTCTGCTTCTTGCCTGTACATTGTGTGCATAATTGCTAAGTGTGTAGGTGTCACATGCAGTGCGGCCCTATGTGGAAATGCTGATTTGGGTTCAAAGGTCTGCACAGTGATAATTCTTCTGCAGCTATATTCCTTGAATGCGTCTTCTCTGTGGCCTTCTGTTTGTATCTCCTGTTTTGTACTGGATAATACCGCCCTTCAGGTGGTTAAGACCTGGCTAGGATATCCTTGCTATATTTGGAGGACTACCTCTTGTCCATATCCTGTTAAAGAAAGAGGAGACTCCTTTTAAAGGGATTAAATGAGTTAAAGAACATAGACTGGCCTTCTTCAGGACAGTCTTCCTAAGCTGCTAGGTCCTGTTCTTTAAGATTAACTGCTGCTCCTTCGCCTACCTTGCTCATGCCAGTGCCAAAGAACAAGAGAAAGTAATAGGTCAAGTCCTCTTTATTCCATAAGGACAATCAAATACTTCATCATCTGAGACTATTATTCTTCTTTGGAGAGTGGTTTTCTTCTGTATTTATATCAGCCCCAGTTTGACCTGATGTGACTGTATACTGGAAGGAGCTTGTCTTTTAGGTGTGGCCATTGCTCACTGATTTTTTCATTTGATTTTAAAATACTCCAAGAATAGGAAAAATATTAGGAAGAGAAGGAACTGTTGTTTTTGTCCATCCTTCTTTCCTGCGTAGTATTTGTGTCCCCAGGCTATCAACACTGTGCAACACTTGCACATTTTTAGGGAACCTTTCATTACCTACATTTTTTTCATTAGCAGTCAAGCCTTGCATCTAAGTACTGCATTACTGCATCTAGTACTTGGACTAGATGATCTCTAGAGGTCCCTTCCAACCTCAACCATTCTGTGAAGTAAAGTATGACCTTGTATGGTTCCTCTGAAATAAACAAGGTTAACTTAAAGTCAGACTAATGTAGTATTTCTTAATCTACTAGTAGTAGCTCAGTTATAGGCCACTTAAGTTGACCACGCATTGTTTTTCTTACAGGTTTGTTTGTCAAAGAAGAAAAAGTCTTGCTCCAAGATTTTCTGGATAACTATCATAGCTTTAGTTGCTATTATGGCACTATGGTAAGAACTAATTATCAACAAGTTGTCTTGTTTCTTCTTTCCTTTTTCACTTGTCTCATTAGAAAGATTGCAATTTTTCCTTGATTTTGGCTTGAAATAAGTGGCTTAAATTAATTTTTAGTATTCCAGAAAGTAGCAGTTTCAAAAATGAACCACATCTGTTTTTTCTTTCTCTCATCCATTGTAAGAATACAATATATTCAAATGAATAATGCATACGCCTGGTAATGTCGCAAAGTCAAAATGCTTTTAGAAAAATGAAATATTCACGTGGTACACACACAGCTGTAATCTCTGTCAGTGTCACAAGGTATGAAGGTTTTCAGTGGCTTGTGCTACAAATCCAAAGCAGGATGCATTAGCCATGCACACATGTTTTATGTAAATGTTCTGTGCCTAAATACCACAGTGATTCTGTTGTGTGAAAATGCAGACTTGTGTGGGGGAAACTATGCTCAGGCCTTCCAGATTGCCAATTTCTGTTTCTATTCGAAAAACCTGTGGCTCACAATCTCTTCATGTACTGAGTACCTTGAGCTACTGTTGTAATTCTATTTAAAAGGAAAAACTATCCACGTCTTCTAGAAGTTCAATTTAGCTGTGAACAAGTACCTGACTCATTAAAATCAGTGGGAATTTTTCCCGCTAGCAGGGTTACTATCAGTCAGTTAACTCTTACCATTACTGCATTTGGACGAGGTACTTTCAAAATATTGTTTATACTAAGTTATATAAGAGATGGATATCAATCTACAGAATAATTCTCTTTCTGCAGTGCTCTGACAATATCGACCCTTTATGTGCTTAGCATGCATGACAGATTTTTTGAAAAACATCCCATTTCCAGGCAAGTAATTGAATTACTATTGTTTTCTGTTTTGGTCTGCAACTGTGATGTCCATTTCTTAATGAACTGTTTTTCTTCATTAGCAGTACTTCAAGTTCTGTTGCACTCTTTCCCTCTACCACTGTAGCAGGTATGGTATCTCTACTGCTCTGCATACACGTAACAGGCTTACAATTTCTGTGCTACTATAAAATGCCAGTAGACAAACAGCGCTAGTGAGAATTGTATCTTTTTTAAAATTTAGCTTTGCAGGGGAAAAGCACAATTTCTCAGAGTACGCAACCCATCAGTGGGATCCCTGAAGTGAATTTCTGCGACATTTTGCCATGTGACAAGGTCTATTGTTGTCCAATTCATGAGTCAGAATCCAGATCTCTAAATTCTGGGGAAACCAACACCAAGGAGGAAGGTAAGTTGAAACATGAAGTTCTGTGATTTACCATTTGAGTAAAGACTGTATGAAGAGTGTGGGGGAAGGGGCAGGAATCTTTAAAAGTATTTAGCTTCCTAAGAAAGTGTGTAGTCCACAGGATTTCAAAAGTCCTAATATAACTAATTGTCCCTGCAGTTAATATGTTTTTGAAAATCTGGCCTGGTTACCTTTAGAGTTCTGGGTCCTAAAATGCTTTGTGAGGCGTCACTGTTCTTACTGGCCGCTCTTGCTAAATGATTTGATGTGAATCTGAACATCACTAATCCCTTTAATTAACCTTCAGCTACAATTTGCCAGGAATTTGCCTCCGGTAGTGGAGGGTGAAGTAGCAGATTTAAAAAACTGATACGCTTAATAGTGTCACAGTGTGGTGATGCTGCATCTTTCTGCAGGCAGAGATAAAAATGGAACTGTCACAAAACATAAAACTTAGAATTCTAACTCTGCTCATTCAGGCAGAGGTTTTGAGCAGAGAAGTATTATTTGAAGGCAGAGCTTTATGAAATGAATTACTTTTACTGGAATGAATTCCCTTTCAGGTACTGTCCGTGTAACTTATCAGTAGGCATATTGTGTACAACCTTTAAAATATCTGTAAGAAATGGTTTATACATAAAGGTATACTATTCATAGAAGTGGCAGGGAAAAAACAGCACTCTGTTTTTTATGAAGTTGTAAAGTTCAGCCCTGATGAGAAAAAAGCTTGGAATCTCTATTCCCCATTCCCAGATCTTAACATTGCCCATGTCTGGAAGCAAGTGTTAGTATTACTAAACTCAGCATTCGTTCTCTTCCTTTCTTGGCCTTGGGAACAATTCTTGCATCAACCACAGTTGACAATTTGAGGTAAAATTGGGAAGTGACCTAGTTCAGCCTTTCACATGCAAATGTCTGTAAGGACAGGCATTGCTGATTGCTGCGAAATCCTTACCACAAAACATTTTGAGTGGGGCTTGCTCACTGGCCATTCTTTATACTGCAAAGTGCTGTTGTCTGCAGACAAGTCTGTGCAAGTGATTCTTGGGATTACTGCTGCAGTAAGTCCTGTGGCAGATATAGCTCAACACAATACTTTCAAGAGGTCATACCTAAGTGATTTGTGTTGTTCTGAAGCCTGAAAGA